ACCTTAAGTTTCTCCAGAAAGAGCGTAGAGAACGAGACAACCCAACCAACCAAGGTCCTGAAAGGTCGGCAGTTTGAAAGACCCCTGCTCCTGCTGTACGTGGGCAAACCACGGCGCATCGCCTGCTCTTGCGGCCCGGACCTCAAACCGCACCTATAGTGTTAGTATGCACATGCACACACTCAAATATGCAAGGGCGTTTAGTATGGAGGGCAAAGGAGGAGGGGTTGTCCTGAGGTTTCCACCACAGCGTCGTGCACGATTGATTGACAGGACAGGTCAACCCCGTCGCCCCCTGTCACAGGGCGGCAGTCGGATTGGGGAGGGCGGGCCGTGGGCCGGGGCCGGCGGGCGACCCCGCGCAACCCTGCAGTGGTACTGCTTGGCACGGCTTGGCACGCCCCTCCCGGCAGGGCCCGGCCCGGGGCCCCGGGGGCCACCTCTACCCCATGCCCACCACGGTGTGCCTGGCTGTGCCCCACCCACAGAGTACAGTAACCTTTACCCTTTGGCGGGGGGAGGGAGGGAGGGACGGGAGGCACGGGAGGACGGGGCGGGCGCGGTCTGTTGGGGCGGAGGAGCGAGTCGTGGGAGTTTTGACTCTGAGGGGGAGAGGGGTCGGTCTGGCACGTGGGAGTAGAGAGGGGGAGTGGGAGTGCCGTGGGAGGAGCGTCCGGCACGTGGGAGTTGGGGGCGACGAGCAGCAGCGGACAGCTCCGCGACGGTCCCGACGAGCCCCCCCCACAGACAGGCTGACGGACGGCGAGGCTGAGTCCGCGGGGAGCTCCAGTCCTGGACTCCGGCAGGGAAGGCCACCGCGCCGCCGGCCCCCCGTGCGGCCCCCGAACTTGTGCTCATTGACAGCGTACTTGGCGGGGCCGGTGAGCCGTGACGAGCAAAGGGAGCGGGGGCGGGCGGGGGAGGAACAGGGGGCGCTTCTCGCCGGCCAGGACATCGTGGAGGGCCTCCACGAGGGAGCCACCAACCGAACGACCCCGTCAAAACCGTCGATGTCGAGCTCGCGCCCCTCCCCCACCAGCGGGCCTGAACAGGGGGGAGAAAACGGAGCGGGGGGACAGCGAGACAGCGAGACTCGGACGCCTATTGTTGCCGGTATACTCACCACGGGCACAACTGCTGCAGGCCAGGGAGGACTACGCTCGGTGCAATCCGTCGGGCAGCGGCAACACAACAATCAACAACACGAGCGACCGCACCACCACCACAACGACTGCCGCGCAGCGATCGACGCACCTCAACTGTCAAGTGACGAGGTTATGGGGGGGAAGGAGGGACGCGAAAGAGAAAACAAGGATACAAGTCAGTCGGTGTGCCGCCCTAGCCCGCCCTAGCGAAAGGCCGTCCACACTGAGACTGAGCCGCCCCTGCCGCGGCGAAGCACTGCATGCCCGGGGAGAGGGGAGGGGAGGGGGTGGGGCCGGAGTGGGGGTGGCCGCCCGGCCAATGGGGTGCGTTGATCGATCTGACGTCACTCCCCTCTGCAGCCCCCCTCGCCCTCCCCCTCCCTGCGGGCCGGGCCCCGCTCACCTGTGCGAGGGGTGGCGAGGGGCGGTCCGCAAACGGGGTGGCCCCGCGACGGATCCAACCCCCCGCGCCAACGGCGCCAGCGCGAGCGACAGGGGTGGCGCCGGCTGCCGGGCCCCGCAATTCCTCATCCGCGAGGAATTTCTCATCCCACAATCCTCAAACCAACCCCTTTTTCGGCCTGTTCGGCCGTCGGCCCGTGCGTTCAGCCCTTTCGGATTTCGGCACGAAACATACCCACCTCACCCACTCACACCCACTAGCAGAGCGGCTACTATCTGCATATCAAAAATATATTTCACTTGAAGAAATGTGAGTTATTTCTTACCATCAGTCAGAAGCCGAAGGAACTCGTCAAAATTAGTAGCAAAATTAAATAAACATTTTTTTTGTTTGTATATTTTGCTGTGCAAGGCTTCATTTACCTTTAAACACCAGTGCGATGGTGGATCAAGGCGCACAATAATGTTTCGAATCACAAACGGAGTTTTATTAGATAATGTCCTCAGTTAACATTATTTAATAAATAAATAAATAAATAAATACATTCAAAATGTAAAAAAAAATTCCACAGAGTGGAAATATTGCAATACAATAAAAAGAAACTGTTGTATAGATCCCGTTACACACGCTTGGTTCAACATATAAATAATATCAAAAACACCAACAGAAATGGTGAAAATATCAGAGTAATAAAAACTATAAGTGAGTATTTATGGTGGGAGACATTATAAGGAACAAGACTTTTGCAAAATTGTTTCTTTTCGAATATCTATGAGAAATAACTGCCATGATAGCAAAACCCCACAGGCTCCACGCAGTCTGTGTACTGAATTCAAAGTGATACGGTGGGAGAGTTCATTTTAAAACATTTACCTCAATTTTTCCCATACTTTTGAACAAGTTCTGCCACCTTAGCGACATACTCCTCCTTAGCAGAGTCCTGCGTCATCCCCTTCTTTTTTTCCCAGGCATCCCACTTGTACTTTCCCTTGAAGTCGAGCATACCGGGTCGGGCTGCGACAAAAAAACAAACAAAAAATATAAGCAATAATCAAACCAGAAAGTCATGCACAAAAGAACATGTTTGTATTGCTGTATTGCTTGCTTAGGTGTGACTCACCTGTGTTCACATCCCCTACAGTTCCTTGTTTGAAGAGGGCATACAGCTCCAGCAGCTCATCATCTGATGGGGTAGCCTTGAGCTGCTTCACTTCCTCTGCCGCAGCATTAAAACTTTCCGACATTCTGGATCTTCTAGATACTTAATTGCGGATGGAGGCCTGGATGACAGGAATGGTATTTAGTGATAATGTCTGTTCACAATAGGGCTGGAGTAGGTATGAAGGAGGAGTGGCTTTAGATTTAGCTTTTGGGCATACATGGAATTTTGGCCTTTATCCTATGAACTAAACTTATCCCCGCCTCCGCCCACCCTTCCCCTCTCCTGACTGGCAAACAGAGAAAAAGTGGGGTTATGGTGGCATGTTCGTACGAGACAGCAATACTAACTAATTATTAAGGCATGGAACAAAAGCACCATTATAAATCCCAGATTAGATACTGGGCTTGGCAAAGGAGAGCCAAATGAACGGCGATAACAGGCATGTTAAGATGGAATAACCGGAGTCTCAGAGATACATGTCGATGATGCAAGAGAAGAAAAGACATATACACGCAGCGCGGAACATCTCATCAATACCTATATCTATACTCACGTTATTAAGCAAGCAGAATCGATAAGCTCTCTTTTACGCCAACCCAAAACAGCTAAATGCCGGTACCAGGGCCGTGTCACTTCGGGGGTTTTGGGTGTGGTGGGGGATCGGGAGATCGCGGGTGCTGTGTAACCAACCTAAAGCACCCTAAGAACAAAATTCCTGCATGATTGCGGGTGTTCCCATCGATAATCTCGAAAGATCTGGGGTAATTTCTATATTTTCTTAAAAGCCAAATAAACGTCTGAAACTTATTAAATATGTTGTCTAGATGTGAGTAAGTAATGTTTAACTCAAAATAGCACAAGTGTAATAAAGTTTGTACATTTTGAAATATTTTGTGGAAAGCACAACTATGCGACAGTTGACCGCACTGTTTGTTTACATTCTGGACTTAGAATTTGCGCGCTCGGAGGCCGTGTTGTGAAATGATCTGAAATATACTGAAATGTAAGTAATTTTATTGAAGTTTATTTGCCTTGTAATTATTTTAGGAGCACAGAATAAAGTGAGTAAGTACGTTGTGTAAAGATGCCACGCCATTTTAGTGTTTGTTTGACTTAGCAACTCTTTCGCCGAACCGGTCATGATTGTGCTTGTCTAATATTTTCTCTCCATCAGGTCAATTGCACTGTAAGTAGGTTAAATATTAACCGATGGCAATAGAAATAGTTACTACTGTTTCAAAATGTTATTACGGAATTGTGATGTGCTTACGGCCCAACCACGTGCAACTTACTATGGGCACATAGCCTAAGTCCAGCTCACTACATGTTGCATCTCAGTTTCATCATTGAGATTATTGCCTGCTTACTGTTAATTTATTCTCGGTTGTGAAATTTGTGTTATATTCATGTATCTATGTGATAAGTCAGATAGTAATGATATGCTCGTTGTTTCAGACACTCCTCGTAAATGCTGCAGTCCTTGTCCAGTGTACGAGCACAGTCCCAGAATGGAAGAAGGATAGTTAAGATGCATCGCAGACCTTCAAGGTATTGCCAAATCCATTTTCAAATGTATCGTAACTGTCGTACTGTAATTTCTCAATACTACTGTGATCGTCATTTAACTAAGAGTCCTATCTGATGCCAATAATGAGAAATGAATGATAGAGATGATACAACTACCCATCATGGTTTTTGGACTCATCTTGAATCATTTCTTAGTTACTAAAGTTCCCGATTAACTTGTGATTTGATGTCTTTGATTTTTCATCTCTTTCTACTTGTTGTAAGTGCAAATTGGGTCTCAGCCGTGGACTTGGCATGCTTATTTGGGGTTGCGTTCGCGCACTCAAATCTAATTGTCAGTTTGTGCCACCGCAAAATCCTTTGAAAGCACAGACTATTCAGTGTGTTATTTTACTTGACTTTTGCTAAAGGTTTATTGTTTGTGGTGCTCAATTCTGTCAGTCTAGTATTTTCTATTTTAGCTCGAGTATTGTCTTAATAAGTAGGGTAAATTGTATGAAGTATCGGCTTTTAATTTAGAGTCCTATCTGATACCAATCATGAAAAATGAATGATAGAGATGATTGAGATGTAACAACTACCCATTATGGTTTTTGCACTCATCTTGAATCGTTTCTTAGTTACTAAAGTTCCCGATTAACTTGTGATTTGATGTCTGTGATTTTTCATCTCTTTCTACTTGTTGTAAGTGCAAATTGGGTCTCAGCTGTGGACTTGGCATGCTTATTTGGGGTTGCGTTCGCGCACTCAAATCTAATTGTCAGTTTGTGCCACTGCAAAGTCCTTTGAAAGCACAGATTATTCAGTGTGTTATTTTACTTGACTTTTGCTAAATGTATATTGTTTCTATATCATTTACAACCTTGTAAATTTACAAGATTGCCGTGATGTAATTATGATTGTTTACGAGTAGATAGTAATTGATCTTTTTCATGTATGCAGACCATATGTCTAAACCCAGTGAGATGCCTACCTATTTAATTGTGATGTGAGTACAGACTTATCCAGTTGTTCAATTATAGTGTAATAGGCTTGCAACTTAAAGACCTATCTGATATCAATCATGAAAAATGAATGATAGAGATGATTGAGATGTTACA